CGGTGACAGCAGCCAGGTTAGAGCTGCAAATGCCGCTGCTCCGAGCTTCCGCAGCCTCTACTTCCATTTTGGCCGACGGCTCTGTGGTGACTCGGGGCTATGGTCACGCTGGCTTTGCCAGCCAGGTGCCAGAGCAGTTGGTGAGCGTCCAGCAGATCCAAGCAACATCCAGGCTGACGGCTGTGAGGAAGCACTGACTATTGATTTCTTAAGCCTTCAGTCTGCTTCCCAGACCCGAGCTACCCCAGGCAACCAGCACATTTCCCCCTAGAGCTTTGCCGGAGCTTCCTGGGTCTATGGGTGCTTGGTTCTGGGCTTCGGGTGTTGTCTTTGATTTGTTTTGTTCCTATCCATGTTCGGCAACTTATGGTAACTCATGGACATCATGGGTTTCATTTCCATGTTGCGCGGGAGGGTGTGATGTTTAGTTGGCTTTTCTGGTTCGGCTCATGTGACTAGGACGTGACTAGGACGAGCTAAGCAGTTTGGGCCTTTGGGGTGATGTACCATGACGAGCTCTCCAACACTTCTCCCACTCCAACTGTTTAAACTTCTCCTCGCCGCTTTTGAGCGGAGAGCAGAAGAGGCTCCCAAGCGAGAGATCCGGTTCGGGGAGGTTGCGCCATTGGGAGGGGTACCTTGAACAATCGAAAAGTTGAGAGCGAGGCTCAAGTAATCTATGCTTTGGTGCATTTTGGTTGGATGTTAGGACTTTAACTTGTTGCCATCTAATGTGTTTTTTCCATTAAGCCACTAAAAGTTAAACTTTTAGCAGGGGAGCAGCAGTAGGGTTCTGATTTGAAAGCAGTATTCTGCGACAAGGGAAAATGGGGGGCTTGTGCGTTGCCATGATCAAAGGGCAGTTGGTCCCCCCCCCCTCAAAAAAACAAACAAACACAGATTGCAAACAAAGAGGATTCTCGCTAAAAGCTAACCAACCAGTAGGTCTAGTTGTCCTGGATCCAATTCATCAACCAGGGGTTGAGCAATCCTGAATTCCCATTACTGCCTGTGCCCCAACACGAGAAAGGGAACCTTCCTCACGCATTCCCCCTTTGTGTGCGCAAGGGAGGTGTATCGCGCCTGGGCAAAAACTGCCAGGGCCTGTTCACTCAGTTGCGGGACGTGGATCCCATTTGCACCCGGCCATCTTTTGGTGGGTTCCCTTAAAGCAAAGAAACACGCCCTACAAATATTTTGATATACATATATACATATATATATATACATGGTCACCCCCCCCCCCCAGGGCCTACCTGTCTACTTACAAGCTGTACAAAATCCACTCTCCTCTGCTCTCCTCTTTCTTGCAGATGTCTGAAAACACTGTAAAGTACAGTGTTATATTGGGTGGGTTCTCTGGGTTTTTGGCACCAGTGGCACGCCGAAAGAAAGAGAAGACCTGGCTGGGTTTTTGGTTCGCCTTGGCTTCTTGTGGTGTGCATTTCAGGTAGCCAGCGCCCGGCAGCATTTCGTGATCGGCAATCCGGACCAGGACATGCGGGTGCTCTCGCGGTGGCAGGCGAAAATGCAAATAAGAGGGCTGTCTTTTTGCGGCTACCCATCGGAGAATTTGTTTTCAAGGTTTTTCGCTCCCTGAGTTCATGGACTTTACACTTTCCGGGAAGACCATTTGAGTGGTGAAGTTCAGACTTTTCTTGGCCAATCCACTCAGGAAGTGAGACTCCGTGAGGCAAATGGTTTTTGAAGGTATCCTGCAACCACATTCTCTAGTTGCTCAGGCCTTTGCGTTGCAGAGTTTGGATGCAGTCGGTTTTCTCGATCAGCAGGGTATTGGAAGAGAACCATGTGTGTGAGCGATAAAGTGACTGCTGGAAGAAAAGCAAGTAGCCAACCACCAACTGGGGACGGGTCAAGCTAGCGGGAGCCAGGCGTTTCTTCAACAGGCTCCCATCACCCACCTCTGGAATCCCCAAGCTGATTGGGTTAAGGGGCGTCGCTGGGTGCGACATAGCCCGTAATGTGTCACGGAGGGCTTCTTATTTGCAAAATGAGACCAGGAGCTCCCGATTTGACACCTGATTCCAGGCACGTAGTTGTTTAGCTCTCCCCTGCAGGTCACCACAGTCAGACCAGACGTCCTGCCCAACTGGCTCGTGGGTTTCCTTGCAGTGCGGGATGATGTCGAGGAGGATGCCGGGGCAAGACGCGAAGTGGAATTCAGCCAACTTTGCAAACCATGGTTGACCTAGCTCCCCCTTGGGGCAGTAGTTCGGGGCGCGGGGAAGGGGGGGTTTGGTGGTGGAATCCTTCTTATTAAGGATAGATGGCGTTACGTGCCGATCCATCTGGCCAGCGCTCGTATCTTTGACAACCTGACTGAACCCAATTGAAACCCAACTTCTCGGCTGGTGGCTGAAACCATGAGATTAACCGCTTAAACCCGACTTGAACCAGGATTCCCCCAGAAACAAGGCCGGGGTTTGGCGCAGCTTGGGACGATGCCTCGGTAAGCTAACTCGATCCGGTCGCCTTCAAGGGCTCGATTCTTGAGGACCCCGAAAGCAGTCGAGGCGTTAACCACCAATCTAGGGGTTGATTCCTTTCCATTCTTTTGAACCCTCGTTCTTTTCGACAACCAGCTGTTTCCCGCGGTTTTGAAGAAAGAAGGATGCCTGGAAAGAATGGGGAAGGTACCGCTGGAACCAAGACCACCAAAACCAAAACCGAAGCGTCCCGCAATGAACCAAAACCAAAACCAACATCACGGCCGTGAGTGCTTTTGAAGCGCTGGACAACCTCAAGCTCGCCTTGAACTATGCCCGCGGGTTTTTTGCTTTGCCTGGATTTGGTTGGTGAATGTCAAAATCAAGAACCTTAGAAGGATGAGTGCAAGGCAATGGCTACCTGGCGCGGGAGCTGATCCATCCTGGGAGCCAACTCAGCCAGAACGTCGCGTGTTCCTTCGAAGGGATGTTTGCTTTTGTTGTTGTGAGGTCACCCTGCGACAGGGAAACCAAGGGATGGATGTACGAACGCGGGAGCAATTGAGTCATGAAGCACCTCCCAAGTTGAATTGGGCGGTTCATTCCGCGAGTCTCCTTCCTTAGGTCTCGCCGAGATCGAACTCAGCAATCGAACCCAAAGCTGAGGCTTTCTTTGGGCTTAGCCCCTGATGAATTAATGGTCAGTTTAAGGGTTCCTGGGTTCCATTGGTTGGGGGGTTTGGTGGGTATCTAGGGTTTAGTCTTTTTAGAAGGGAATCACTTTTGGAGGGGAACACCCGCTGGGGTTGATGACTCTTGGGTTTAAAGCCGAAGGCCGAAATGTTGCGAAGCGCAGGACATCTACTGAAGCTCGCCTTGGACGCAACAGGTGTCGTGGATTGAGGCCCGCCCCAGGAGGTAGGATGCTTACCTTCAGGCGGGTGGGGGGGGGGGTTGGTACCATGCGGGGGGGGGGGGGTGGCAGCTGGATCCAGTGGGCATGGGTCTGTTTTTGGTTAAGCTAGGCTGTGGCTTGAAAGAGAAACCGCCATTTTGCCAGTGACATGTCCAAGACGCAGCCCTTGCAAGGCCTTTTGGGCATGCATTGTTCCCTGGGCGTGCAACGGGGCAGTCCTGTGAAGTGGAGGGGGGGGGTTAGGAAAGTTCCATAAACCCCCCTGTCAGCTTCCAGGTAATGTTCCCCAGATTGACCAACCCAGTTTCTCAATAGGGGGGGTGCTTTTCTCCAACTGGGCTTAGTGGTTGGAAAAGAGACCACTTTTTGAAGGGTGCCCCCCCCCCCCCCCGAATTTAATAAGCTGGTTGGTTGATTAATATGGGGTCAGCTTCCATGTTGGGAGGGTAGCCCTCAATTGGCGAATTTGAGAGTCGGAAGATGTTTCATCGGGGCTCCGCCTCGTTGGCCCACCGTTTTGAGCCTGGCGTGCGTTTTGTTTTTCGTCGTTGGGGCATGACTTCCCTCACTCAGGCCTTTCCCTGAATTGGTGGATTCGGACCTTGGTTCTTGATGAAACCAAAGACGGCACCTAATCTAACCAGCCATGGACACACATCCACACCAATGGCAAGCCGATGTTTGGTGTTCCAATCTGAAGCAAAGGGCTACATTTCCTTGGCCAATCCGCGGAGCGACGGAAACAACATCGTGGTGCCATGACCCCCCCCAACCAAATCAATCTGCAAGATCCCATGCGTTACGATTGATTCCGCGGCTTCATTTGTTTTCGGTGTCCAATTGCATGCGTTTTCACCCGCGGTTACGCACCAGGCTCTGCTGCGAGCTCGGGCGAGCGGCGCTCGAACGCCCCAGTCGCTGCAAGAGAAAATGACGCGCTAGTGGCTGGCACCGCATATGCTTTGGGCGAGCCAAGAAGACAGGGATGCCGAAACTCCCGGACTTCCATCTTCTTGAGAACATATTGTGATAATTCCCTGTTGGGTTTAAGGGGAATCTATCACTACTGGGCATATGTTTTCTTTTCCTGGGGACTTAGTCAAATGGAAGCAGACGAAGCTAAGGAGGTGTGCCCGGCTTAAACATCACCTCATTTGTGGGTGAGGAAAAAAAGAGGATGTACAACGACCCTTGTTTTGCCTGCTACCCTTGAGCCCTTCGGCGAGAGAAGGCTGAGTGGGATGGTCCCTCACCAAAACTTCACGTCACGCGCGGCTGACAAGCCATTCGTGCGGTATTTTCCATAGGTTTTGAATTCACCTCCACCCTCGTCCTTGCTTGGAGGTTCCGGGTTCCCTTTGGCATCAATGCTCGGAAAGTTCCCATGGACTCCCTGAGTAAACATATATATATATATATATTTATTTACCCTTCCTCCAACTAACATGGCACCTGTGGGAGAGTAGCTTGAAGATCAATCTACTCTCCAAGGGGCCCTCTGTCAGAAGCCATGTTTCTGGAAGGGAGGGTATATGTATATATATATACACATATGTATGTACATACCCTCACCCACATGAGATGCCCCCAGCCCTTGTGCCCCTTCCGAGTGACTCGCCGCCGATGTTTCCCGCCAGATTCTGGGGCCTGCAGCAAGCGCGGCCGGAGGCCTTGCAGCCCGCCAGGGCCTTAGATCCATGGCACAGGAAGAGATCTGGCGGCCCGGAATCAGACGGGCACTTTTTTTTCCTGATGCTGGTCATGTGTTCGAAAAGGGCCTAAAAAATCTCGAGCTTTCAACAACTGCACAGTCTGTTTAGGCCCATAGGCTTCTGTGTTTTTATGTGTTTGGCAAACTTGCGGTTTGTTGCAGGGCATCGGGTCTACAGAAAGCTTGGGGAACTCGCAATATACAAACTCCAGGAAACCACAGCTTCAGTTCTTGTTGTTTGCAAGTTTCAAACTGCAAGCCCTTAAGCTGAAATAGGACTCTAATATGATGTCAATTCCATAGTGTGTTTTTCTTGTTCAATATTAAATGGGTTTTGTCCAAGTAAGATTATTTTTCATCAAAATGTCAGGAGAGTTTAATGAGGAAAACACAACTGGTTGTTTGTTCCAATTAATTTAACTACAATTATGTTTTATAATTTGGGTTCGATATAGGAGCTCCTTTCCAAGTACGGTTTTGAATGAACCTGGTATAGAAAGACAATCCGATTTTAGTTGGGGTTTGGATTCAAATGTCCTTTCCGTTTTTTGAATTTAATAGAATTTAGAGTTTAATCAGGACAGACAACCTGCTTGTTTCTTCTAATTGGCTTGCCCCTTGAAAGGAGTGCATGGAAAACGCAGTTTCAGTTCCGGTGAGTTGTGAACCTCCAGATTCGTGGTCGGCGATCCTGACGAAATTGTCTCGCGGAAAAGGGGAACAGACTGAATCTGAAATAGTCGACCAATCCCAAATGGGAGTTCGAGCACAGCGTAGAGTAGCAGGGAAACACGGAGGTGGACCCGGACGACTTCTCTCCACACGCGCCCTATCGTGCTTGGCTTTTTGGCGGGGCGGCGGATGCCGGATCGCCTGGGTTCGCCTGGGTTGGTGACATAGGGCAGGGGCAACGTGCTCCGGCAGGCAACAGCTTTCTCGTTCCAGGCGAACAGTGAGGCCACAGTCACGAAGGGCGATGGCTGTGATCTGGCCGTTATCCCGAAGGTGGACCAGTTTCATGCGACACCCCGCCCCTATTCGTGGCGGCGGAGTCTCTGTTCTTTGCGCATACATGCAGCCTCAGGCGTAGTAGATTCCGCCTGAGGGCATGTGCAGCATAGCGGAAAGCCGGAACAGTTGTTCAGTGGCATCCTCTATATTTATGTTTGTTTAGTGGGGCCCCCTCGAAGAATCAAAGAGACAGCCAAGAAGAAGTAGTTCCCAGTTTCTACCAGCGTCACAGGTTGCAACTGGGTTGTGTTGTTTTCTTACAAGGCAACCCTTGGTCAGCAGCAATGCCGTATCCAATGGTAGCGAGTTTTGTTGTCCCCTCTCTTTCTACCAGTGCGAGTGGTAAACCAACCAGTTCCAAATGGTGGCAACGCCCAAACAGCCATTTCATTAGTGGCAACTGCAGGATTCCCTTTAAACATCACCCCTAAGGGAAACATAGGGAACCCTGTTTCTTTTAGTCTGGAAGCCGAAAAACCCCAGGTACTCATCAACATGGGGGGAGGACGTCCGAGCGCCGATGCGAGGTGAGGCAATTCTTCGACGGCTGGTCGGAGGCCGGCGGGCTCCACTCCTTTGATTTTCGGACACGCCAAACGGGTGGCGAAAGGATGCGCGACTGTCCCGGATTTTCATTTTTACCACACAATTGGTCACCAGCATCGTTTCCCTTTGGGGTTTTTCTAACCATTTTTTCCCTGGTTGCCTGCTGCAGGGGAAACTGGGTCCAGTAGATGTTTCCCAAACCAGACGACACGGTGCTTTGAAGGCCAGGTTTTCGACTGACAAGAAACCGTGCCAATAGCCCACTCAAGGGACTTATGAGCGGCAAGTGGGTTATGACCAGGGCTACTACCCACTTGCTCGGTGCACCACCCCTTTCTGAGGAGAACAGGATTCAACTCCATAAAACACATCGCTATATTGTTTAAGTTGATGCACACCTTTCCAGAGGTGCATTTTGCTTGGATGTTAGGACTTTAGCTTTTTGCCAACTAATGGGTTTCTATTGATCCACTAAAAACTAAACTTTTAGCAGGGGAGCAGAAAGCAACCGAGTCTGTCAGCCGCTGCCACCACAAGGCTCCTGGTTATGTGTCCCCACAAAGGCGGGTCAGCAAATTGGCGTGGCCCTCCTCTCATTTAGCGCAAAGGCTGACTTTCATGATGCGTGGATGGGGGGGGGGGTGGGCGAACTGATCATGATATGAGCCTGTTTGGGCAAACAAACCAATGTAATCTGTTTTGGGGTGATGTTGCTAGGTTGGTGAGCTAGTTTCCCAGGGGCGAGAAATTGTCAAGAATCAGGTTTCATCAGTGGTTGGACTCACTTAGTGGCTTGGATTGGTTGGGGGGGGGTTGAACCCCGGGTTCTTGTGGGTAAAATCCAACGCTCAGCCACAGATCAAGGTTGAAACCACGAGGCTCACTGGCAGATCGATGCGTGGACACAGAGCGCGGAGCTCCAAGCGCAGAGAGTTGCCATGAGAACAGCACGGCGCTTGTTCCCTGCACGTTCTCCGACCGGGTGACAGGCGGCCGAAGACTTCTCTATGTTTTGCATAGGGCAACGCGTTCGCGACAACACCATGTGTGGATTTTTCAGCCACTGGAACACGAGGGATTGCACTCCTGGAAGTCAAGCATTGGCAATTTGGGGACAAGTCTCAGCGGTATGGTTGGTTGGCTACACTTCCACTGCAAGTGAACCAGCCACGTCCAACCGCAACTCCCTAGTAAATTGCAGTAGGCAACATGGCTTTGTTACTTGCAATATTCAGGGCACGCGACGTATCATAGAAGTTGTTTCCCTAGCTGCTGGAACCCTTGTTTTAGATCCCTCCCATCCCCCGACAAGTTTCTGAGAATTTGTTTGGAGCGTGCAATTTTAATGTCCGCCCCCAGCTGAGCCATGAAGTTGATTCATCAACGTGGGGTTCCCATTTACTTGCCATGACGACTTGGTCCGCCGAGCCTGGATTTGAGATGTTTGGGTTGCTTCTTGACCTTGACCTTGACCTGTTTTCCTTTCGGGGGATGCTTTTCCTTTTTGTCCTGCCCGTTAGAGTGTCCTTCATTCCCCCTCACAAGCAAAAGCCAAGGGGAACACCTTGTAGTGTTTAGGAGATGCCTCGAATCAAGGCTTTCCCGTATGTTTTGTTTTTTGTTCCTGGGGCGCAGGCGAACAAGTGCCCCCTCCATCCGACCTGACTCATGATGAATTGTCCCTTCAAAGGGGTTCACACAGATGTTGAATAGGTGAATCTTACGGATGAGGATATCATGCTAGTTGGTGTTTGAGGCTCTTAAGCGTTTGGATTTTCTATTGACCAACCGGCAAGTTCAAACCTTCTGCAAGGGCTCAGTTGGACCAACCCCAGGGGAGAGGGGGCCAACAAAAAACCTCATGTCTCAACGGGCTGGGGAACCGTTCGGCCAGACGCATTGCGGGCAAAAGCCTCCCTACATCCTCGCCTTTGCCACTTGGGATCGTAGCGTTGTTTCGTGGACTTTCCGGCTTGGGGTTGGCTCGTGGGCGGCTTTCCTTTGGGGCCAGCTCCAGAGAAAGACATCCTTGGGACGACCACTTCTTTTTTGAGAGGAAACGCAAAGAACGGCAACCGTTTGCGGGGTACCCTGTTCAAACGCATGCCGGCATTGGGGGCCCGCATGCAACCCTTGATTTTGTTTCTACCCACAACCCTCCAAGAAGATGGGGACGCTTGAGATGGTCATAGGTGTCACATCAGCGGTTGGATACGCCCAGTTCAGTTGAGTTTCTTTGTGGTGGCCGGTGATGCCTTATAGGGGACATCTAGTTGAAATGTTTCTTGACTGAGGTGAGTTTAGGTAGTTCCCACCCGGTTTGCGAGGGAAACCGTCAAGAATGGAACATGTTTCTAGCATCAAGTGATTAGAGTAATTTGAGTTTGCGTTCATCAATCCGCAGTTTTCAACTTTGGAAGACAGTTAAGTCAATGGTTCTTTGTTCAAGCTCCATCATCTCAGTAGTTACTTCTGCAACGCGCCATTTCGCCAAGCTGAAGTTCCGAGCTTCCCCCACAATCTCCTCCGTAGGGCTCCCCTTCAGAGCAGGAACCAAATTGGAAGTTGTGAAACGTGCCGCTGAAAAACGTGGCACAAGAATACTTTTTATACCGGCCAGGTGTCCATTCGCAAGGTTTTTGTTGCCTGGGCTAGCACTTGAGCCACAGCTTTCGTACATGCGCTGTTGTTGTGTAGCTTGTTTCCGTCTTAATGATTTCTTTTTAAGACTCCCTTGGTTTTGCTCTCGCGGCTTCGAAGAGCAAAGTGGATCGCTGCACTGCCCCAAAGGAGTGTTTCCATTTACTAGGGTTCCATTTTGGGTACATATTTTTAACCCACAGCCATTTGAAGGCTAAGTGCTAGTCCCAAGCAAAGACACGTGGCCACCGTTTCAAGGGAGAACCTCGCTCCGTGAAAGGATCTGGAACAAGGACTGCGAAAGGCAAAAAGAGTCGAATGGATCCTTAAGTCTGGGTTGCTAAATGGTTGCAAACCCTGGTTGTCACCCACTGAAGCGGAGGCATACATGGGTAACGATGGGCGCGAACTGCTTAGCGTTCAAGACATCTGAGTATGGTCTGAGTATGACTCGATTCGGCTTTCCTGCTCAAAAAATGACCTTTGGGACCCTTCAAAAGAGCTTCAAGTTTGCTCGGCCTCTCCCAGGCAGTCAGCTAGGACCCATGAGGGAGAATCCAATGAACACATGAGCTTGAAGTTGAAGGAGGCACGGTTTGGTGACCTGATGGGGAGTTATGTCCGGCAACCAACTCGATGTGTGATCAGGTTCCGAAGCTACACGTTTACAAAAGGCAACAGAGAACCCCCACCACTGTTTCTGATGACTACACATATCATTTTCCATTGGTATGCATTTAAAATAGGAGCCCCCTCCCCCCCCCCCCCCCCCAAACTGTTGGTAGTTCTTTTGATGTCCCTTTCAAGCAAGTCGCACCAAGTTGGGCAGGTTCCGGGTTGAAACCCAATGTGTCCGGAAAACCGCGCTCTCGGCCGAGGTCAACTCTATGTCCGGCAACTTGCGAGTCTCCCAGGACAGCCGACAGCAGGACTTTTGAACCATTAGTGAGGGTCTTATTTAGCGCTGTGACCAGGTGATGGTCAAAATATGGTTGATCGTATCTAAGATATTTCGTTGTAAATATTTAAATCTGGTCTTTCAAGTTCCCAATTTCAGAAACAAGATAACAGCGCTGTGAACAGTTCATGTTGGCGATGCGGGCAGGTGATGCCGGCCGGCGAGTTCAAGCATGTTCTTTTAAGCGCTCAATTGCAGAAATTAAATATCTGCAGTGTGAACAGTTGATGCGACGCGCACAGGTGGTGCTGGCGCTTAGGGGTGTTACTTGTGATTCATGCTGGTGATGCTGGGGCTCTCACTGTCACTGTCACTGGAGAGTCTTTTTCAATCCGTGTTGAGCTTGTGATAGTCTTGGCTGCCACAAAGGGCTGCTTATCCAGCTTGTTTGGCGGGCTTCGCAAAACTCAAATATATTTTGGCCGACCTCAGGACCCCTTTCGGGGAAGCCGAAAGCAAACCATCCACTTGGGTGGGGTCAGTGTTGAGAAACACCCACATGGTCTGTTTGGGAGGGACATGGAGGAATGAGCTCCAAATGTCCCAGAAGAGTAAGAAGGGGCGAGGCATACATTTATCACGTCCTTGTGTTGGAACGTATCTTTGACACCGACTCGCGATATCTGCATAGTGACCCGCTCAACCGGCCTCAAAATTGATTGGTGGATCCGGGAAAGCCACTATAGTCTGGGGTCTCCACTGAAGCAAGTGTTTCATACAATAAAGCTTGGCTAGTGTGAAACAGAAGGTGTTCCTTGGGGGTGGGCCCGGTCGCAGGTAACTAGTGTACTTCTTGTTTGCTTTTTTAATAATATTTTTTTATACCCTGGCTTTCCCTAGTTACCTTTGGCGCTTACCTGGATAGGTTGGAGGTGTCCAAAATGCGGACACCGCAACTTGTTCTTGACACCATCTTCTTGTTGGGTGGGCTGCAAACAAGCAAGCAGTTGATTGACAACATGAAACAGGTCAGGAAGAAAATGTGGGTGGTCCTGAGGCCGTGGCATGGATTTGCCCCCTTTTTATGGCCAAATATGGAGGGCCAACGGTGCAACGAGCGCCAGCCATGATGCAGATCCCTTCACTTGAGGATCATTGGGGATCCCTTATTTCAGCCCAGGTGGGCAAGTCAGACCCAAATCAGGTGTACATGTCAGACATGTCTGCTTTCAGGGTGATCGGGGTTGTGGAGGAAGTCTGCGATTTTTCGAGGGTGCTCAACTTTCCCTTGCTGGCTTCACCTTTGATTGCCGGATGTTTGTTCCCGTTTGATTGGGTGATAGCGATTGCTATATCATGGCTATATCCTATTTAGGTGACGTACGCCCATTGTAACTGGGTCTAAGACAAAACCACTTAGCCAGGTCCCAGGCCATCTAAGTAGTGCGCAAAGGAAACCCTCCAAGCAGCCCATTTTTCTCGCCAACGGCGTGTTCCAAACTTGAGGGTTGAAGAAGGTCCGTTTCCTTTGGGATTTCCTGAGGCAGATTGGACAAAAATGAAAGTACTCCCAAGCACATGGCCACGGAGCCAAACCAACGCCAGCTTTTTTACAAGGGACTTTTTTTTGGAGGGGGGATCTCCTTTTTCAGATTCTTGCAGCGGTGCGCAGATCCTGGAGAACCCTCTTTGGTTGTGAAAACCGTTTTTTTTTGGCCAAAGGCTGCATCTATGAACTGAATCTCCTAGTATCAGCACCTAATTCATTGCTGACTTAAGCGCCGATTATGGCTAAGGAATGGTAAACCAACCGGTCACCCACCGCCATGAGCCTGTATGTCGTTTATCAGCCTTTGACTTCGGATAAAAGTGAGCTCATCATTCGGTGAATCCAAAAACGATCACCCCTTCATGTTTCAGGCTTTCTATTCAACACCAGGCAGCCCCCCCTTCCCTTTCCCCCCTCCTCCCAACCCCCCCACCCCCCACCTTTTCCCCCCCGGCAGGCGATCAAGAAGCAGCTGAACACCCTGCTGGATCACAAGTCGCTGGCTCAGAGAAGGACGCTGGACGGACATGCCCGCTCGAGCTTTCGGTAAAGGAAGGCGCGCCTGTTTATTTTTTTTTCTCCGTGCCTTTGTGGTTAAGAGTCAGGAGTGCTTTTTGCCTGGATGTGCCGGTGCGAGTGGTTTGCTGTGTGCTACGTGCTGCGTGCTCTTCGTTGCGTGTTGTGTGTTCTGTGGTGCTTGTTGATGTTGCGTGCTGCGTGCCATGTTGAAGTCATGGGGCTGGGCAGGAGGGAGCTAAATACGGCCTTAAGGGCTTAAGGGCTTATTTTTGGGCTCCCCCTCCCCTCCCACCCCCCCAGCCCCCATGAAGAACTCAAACCCAAACCTGTGGGGTGGTCCTTCGGCCCGAAGCCCGCGAGACCCGTCCGACGTCGGTGGTGAGGTTCACGCCCAGCGGCCGCGGGGAGGCAGGAGTTGAGAGCCTCCCAAGTTTCAAACGTCGGTTCCCGTTCGGTGCGGTCCGGTCCTCCGTTGGTTTCTTTGCGGAAAAGCAAGCAGGGCCCCCTTTGACGGACTTGTCACTGCCTCATCGGCGAAGTGGAGTAGTCCGGTTGTTTTGTGTCGTTTGGCACATGCCTCAAGTTGTTTTCGCAGACAGAAACCCCGCCCGAGTATTCATTATAACCTTCCCGCATGGCTTTTGCTGGGGTCATGTCACGTGTCATTGCCAGGCTTGACTTGTTTTTTTTTTTGTGCCTGTTTGGGATGTGCAATCTAATTATGGTTTCTCACGTCCCAAGTTTCTGGCTTCTCACTCTGGAACCATGTTTGGCCTGTCTTCTCCTCATGGCAGGCAAGTGAGCACATGCAGAATCTCAAGACGGCGCTCGCACGCCCTAGGTGTATTTGGCCGGCAGCGTTTGTGAGCTCTCCGAGGTGAGCAACAACGAGAGGCTTCGGGAGCGAAGGATTTGGAGATTTGGCGGCCGAACAGCGACCTTGCGGCGGTGCGGAAGGTTGCCTGAGGGTCCAGAGGGGTTTCGCGGTTCTTGTCTGTTTTCCCACAATGGGCTTCCACAAAGCACGAGTGCCGGTTGAAAAAACGCTTGTGTCCGCTGTGCATTGGATTGGTTGACAACAGCCATGGGACTCTGGTCATGTTTGCTTGCATCATGTGGTTCACCAAGGTCTCAGCCCATGTATCCCCGGTGCAATGAGCAGGGCTCCAAATCTGTTTCGAGCAAAACGTAGAGTGACCCCCAGCTGCCCAGTGACCTGGAAAAGAACATGGGACCCCCTTTGGCGAGCTGAAACTATTTGAGCCCAACAAATGGATTTCGAGGGCGGAATCTACTGAACGATTGGGGGGCTGATGTTGCCATTCGAGTTCTCCAGCTCGAATGGAGTTGCTGCCGTCGGGTGGATGCGCGACTGGCGAAGGCAAGCCTTGTGGATTCCATGTGCGCACCTCAGGCCTTTGAAGGCAACCCTTTGGCTGTGGTGGGCTCTAACCCCGGAGCCAAGCCTTATGGATCGAAACCTGTGGTGTTTCCTAGCTGGGGATCCGCTCTCAGATGAAACACCCCCATGAATCAACGAGGGGTTGTATGAATCTTGGGTCAGGATTACTCTCCAAACCGCTACCCCTGCGGGACTAGTGGAATATACAGCCACTAACAGCCAGCATGTCAAGGAAGTACACTTGGGTTTGTTGATCCTCCGATCCCGTTGCAAATAGCAAATCTCAAAAGGGCTTCCCTTGTTCTACCATGGTCACTATAAGCAACTGGGACACAAGGTTGGACAGCTTCAACGGACCAAACATAGAAGGAGGGGTTGCTCGCAAATATTAAGGTAAACCACACCGACTGCAGCACAAGTGCACCAACTGGATTGCACCCAGCAGACCCAGAGAGGAAACATTCAAACAAACATCGACCTAGCACAGACCTTTTGGGTTTGCGTTTGGGGCCATGTTTTTCTCATGTCCCGTGAACCTTCCTGCCCTGCGAGGCACGTGCGGGACGTCATCCGCGACACCAAGCGCCTGATGGCGGTGGCGAACATTACCCAGCTGCCGGACCCCAGAGGGCCTCTGGGGTGAAAGGGGAAGAGCAAGGCGATGTAGGCCAGCAAGGTCTCAAGGTGGCAGAACCGTTATATATATATATATATGTATGGCTGTGGGTCAAAACCAGTGGTACTTTTGGGGTAGGTGCACCACCCATTTTAGTCTACTCTAGTGGGGATTGGGATGTTTACTGGGGGTACAGGCTTTTGACCCATGGCCATATATATATATATATATATAAATATAAATCTGTTTGTTTTTCTATTCTAAGTGTGCAGATTTACCCTGCCACCAACATAGGTGCCTGCACGACACCTGGACATGTCTCAAAGGGACCCCCTCAATGAGGGGCATTGCTAAGGAGTTACAGCTTGAGGAAGACTAGACCAAAACTGGAGGGGTGCTTGGGGACGGTGGCCAGTTGCAGAACATTGAATGTTAGGTTGCCATTTTCCTTGAGCGGCCAAGAGGACCCTCTTCAAACTGATAAAGTAGTCAGGGAGATGGCCCATTCTTGTACCACAGAAAGGGCTATGTTCCACTATGCTGGATAGAAAGGATGCTGACTCGTTAGACATGAAATTATGTCTGCCATCACAGCACCAAACAAGTCCCGCGAAACGTATCGAAACGTACTCTATCCCAAGCCTTATCCTAAGCCATGCATTAGCTTGATTTGCCGCTTTCTTGCCAATTGGTTCACTTGCTCCTCCAGAAGCCTTCAAAAAGGAGAAGCTTTGCCTTAAAAAGCCGGCCGAGATTCAGTAGACCATCATGTTTCGGCTATGGAGGCGAAGCACCAAATTTCAATCACAACCAAGGGGCTGACTAAGAGCCCCTGTCCTTTAAGGCATATGACCTTTGCTCGTATTGCCAGGTGGACCTGTTGCGATGCTGACATATCCTGAGCCCTGCCCCCCGGTGACGGCTTGAGGCGCTTCCTGGTGTGCGGAGGCGACGGCACAGTCACCTGGGTGCTACACGAGATCGAGGTGCGACCTCGCGCAAGCTGTCGTCCACTATCCTGCGCCGTGCTGTTTGGGGCGGTATTTGTCAACTACCCCTGGGGCCCCTGGGGCCACTTTGGACTTCCCAGTTTCTGCGCGTTACTTAAAATGTTTTTACATTCCAAGGTTCATTAGACATGCGCAAATGTTGTTTCTTCCGGTGGTTGGGTGGGAGCGGAAGTTTTCACCATCTTCGCATCCAGCGGCTCGCAGGCATGCAAAGACGAGAACCGAGACCTCTTCAAATTGCGGGAGGAGGTGGGGCCGCCTGGGGATCGCATTCGCGAATCCGTCAGAGTCCTCTCTTGACTTGGGGTTTCTTGGCATTGTCACCCTCTAGGGAATTTGCACAACCAATGTAAACACTCTGGACCATGCTGGGTTGATCTGTTTGTTTCGGGCAAGGTGGGTCCGGATTACCGGGTTCCGCCATCCAACAAAATCCAGAGTGACTCTGAGGAGCACCCTGTGATACCGTGACACCATGACGCCCTTGAAACGAATCACTTGAGTCGATTCGAACAGTAGGGTTTTCCCATGGTCCAAACCTCCGTCTCGGTCCCCAGGGTAAGATCTCTAAAGCCAGCCCTTTGTTTGCAAGCCCACTTCCTGAGTTCATGGACTTTATAGTTTTTGGGAAGACCATTCTAGTGGTAAAGAACAAGTTTAGACCATTTCTCTCAGGAAGAGATCAAGTGCCCATGGTTAATTTGTTGGCCTTCCCATGGCAGAGCTCGGCGCCACTTGAGCCGAGCTCTGCAAAACCCTTGAGTAGCTCACCCTCGAACGGGCGACCATTTCCAATCGAAACGGGCAAGACATGAGCAACTATTTGCCTTATTGTTAATGCTGACCCCATGTTAATCAACCAATTTTAGTTTCTTAATAGGGGGGTGTTCCCCTCCAAAAGTGATCACCCCCTGTAATAGGGTTGATTAATATGGGATCAGTGGGTTGTGCCCCTTACAAGTGTGGCCCCTCATCAGTCTGACCGAGCAACTGCCCTTGCAGTTGGGGCCCCGTGTGACTTTCCCGAGTTATGACTAGCGCATTTTGCAGTCATTGAGTACATGTTTCAAGCTGGGGGTGATAAATTGCTTGAGTTGGGTATGTAAACTTGCTCAATTGTGCGTATCTTAATTTGGGTCGGTCAGAGATCGTTTCTAGGCAGGAATGTAGGATAGCCATGTGTATCCTCCCCAACTTGTTAAGTTGCATTCCAGCAACTTGCTGTGCATTTTCCATTCTCAAAGGACCCTCGGACAGGAGGTGGGGCATACCACTGGTGTCACCGTTGGGTCAGTTTGGTTTTAGATAGATGGAGAACGGATTCCACCAGTTTCATGTTGGTTCCAACCAGAGCCACTTCTGTAGCAGTGCCACGTCTTCTTCCCACTATCTAGGACCACCACCATATCGCCACTATGCAACGGGCACACGCGGGTGTGCGTTGTTGAGGCTCGGCATTAAGGAAACCAAAGGGAAGCCACTCATTTGGGGACCCGGACCTACTTTTAGCACACACACCCACACATTCAGGTTTTGACAGGTTACTCACTTCTTCCGCAAAAAGACGAACCCGGAACATTCGCACCCCCTGAAGGGGACACCCCCCCAAACACCCACCCCCCCAATCACGCCCCCTTAGGAAAGACTCAAGTGGGAGGTGTGCTTGGGGGGTGGTCAGTGGTGTGAATCAGGGTCCAAGGACAAGCTCCATATTTTAGCCTATTTTAGTGGGGATTGGGATTTTCACTGGGGGTACGGGCTTTCGACCCATGGCCAAATTGAAACAGCACATGTTCCACGGCTTCCTAGGAGCCGGCCATCGGCGTGGTGCCGGCTGGCACCGGCAACGACCTGGCCAGGTCTCTAGGCGAAACCGGGACGTCGCGAGCAGTTGGCACCGAGTCATTTGGCCGTGGTTGTCAAAAGGAATGGGATCCCATTTTGGGGTAGGTGCAGCACCCATTTAGTCCATTTTAGTGGGGATTGGGATGTTCACTGGGGGGACGATTTGGATTTTGACCCATGGCCATTTGGCGCAAACAAACCTCGCAAGGATCCCTCTTGGACCAGTCTCTTTTTTTTGTTTTTTCTCGGAAAGCGGGTTCCTCGTTCGTGTGTCTCAAGAAGCTTTGGATCGCAAGGGTATGAGTAAGGAAAGAAAACGGACGGCTGAACCACAACCCAACGTTTCCAGCTCCTCTTTTTTTCCACACAAAGATGGGCACCGCGGCACCCTTGAAGGGAAGACTTCGAGGACTATCTTGGCTCAGTCATTGTTGAGGATGTCGCAATGCATCCAGCAATAGGGAGTCTGGAGCAATAAAAGACGAACCATCGTGTTAGAGTTAATCAACCTTTGGGTTTCCAACCCCTGCCCCTTTGTTTGATGTTTCCTGTGGCTGTGAAAATTCAACAGGAAGCCTCTGAAAGGTGGGTGGGTATACAGCCAAAGAAAACGGGAGGGTCCCTTGTTCCAGGGGTCGATTCCCCATATTCTGTTCAGCCATCGTTCGTTTCAAAAGCCAGCCATTTCCGCAGGGTGTTTTGTGGTTTTCTAGAAAGAAGGATCCCTGGAAAGAATAGGCAAGTTACCCCTAGACTTTTAATGGTTTCAAAAGGGATGCTCTGAAAGGTGGGTGGATATACAGCCAAAGGAAGCAGGAGGGTCCCTTTTGCTTGGTGGCTCGCAGCCATCCCCTTAGCTTTTTAGCCTGTCAGTGTTTCATGTCAGTTTCCATTGAACCCACTAACAGTTAAACTTTTAGCGGATCTGAAGGCAGCCCAGTTTTATGAAACTCCTCTTTCCTTTGTCCACGGGTCCCAAAAGTCATCCAGCGGCAGGCTGGGGCCCGAAGCTGCGCTCGGTGGCTGCGCTGGTGGGCTACGTGCAGCGCGGGAACCGAAAATCCAGGGGGGGACGAGTATCCAGGTCGAGCGCGGATGAATACATCCCTGTCCATTGGTATGAATGGTTTTTCCCTGCAAGAGTAATTGAACCCCCAGTAAATTCAACACATCCAGAAGAATGGTTTAATCCCCAAACCCAAGAACACCCCAAATTACACCAGCAGAGACCCCAAACAGTTGAGGGCTGACGGGCGAGCACAAACATGCCAACAGCTTGTGGCTTTCTGCGCTTCAACACGGATGAATCAAAATGATGCAGTCGTGAACCTGGCGCGCGTTGCGTTGCTGCACGTGTGTTGCTGGCGTGCTTCGCGCTTCAGCACCGCGCCAGAACTGAGGTTGGGCAAGCGCGCGCGATGGCGGGCGAGCGCGCGCGCGTGAACGCAAGTGTGGCCGCGCAAGCACGCAGTCACATGGGCAGTTCAAACACACATGTCCAATTCAGACACACATGTGTGTACACGTGGAACACACATACGTATACGACTGAAACAGTATACATTCACCTGCGGCACACGCATAAATGTGTTGAGCTGGAAAACAAACATGTGCTTCTTGGAAAGCACACACACATGTGCAAACGTGGAACGCACATATGTGTTCACTTACGACACGCTAATGCGTTCACGTGGAACACACATGTGTGTTCACTTGGAACACAATGAAACGCGTGTCCAATTCAGACACACATGTGTGTACACGTGGAACACACATGCGTTCACCTGGAACACAAAGACGCGCAATTAAAGCACACATGTGTGTACGCGTGGGACACACATATGTATACCACTGGAACACAAACATGTGTCCACCTGGAACACCGCGTGTGCGATTAAAGCACACATGTGTGTACATGTGGAACACACATATGCGCACACGTGAGCAAACATAAATGCTCACCTAAATCGCACACACATGCGCGCACCTCGAAAACAATCATGCGTTTTCTGGAGCGCATACATGTGCACACCTGGAGAGCAAATATGTCGTCAGATGCCAAAAAAGTTCACCTAGCACATACTAATGTGTTCACGTGAAACACACATCTGTTCACCTGGAACACAAACACGTGTCCAATTGGAACACACATGTGCGTACACGTGGAACACACATATGTGCACACGTGAACACGCATATGTGCACACGTGAACACTCACATATATGTGCACCCGGAACACACACCCGTGTGCTCATCTGATAACAACCATGTGTTCTCCTGGAACACAAACACGTGTCCAATTGGAACACGCATGTGTGTACACGTGAACACACATATGTGTACACGTGGGAGACGCAAATGCGCACACGTGAACACACACACATGTGCACACGTGGAACACACACATGTGTACTGCACATGTGAACACACACATTTATGCGCGCGCGGAAAACACAGACACACACGAGTGTTCATCTGATAACAAACACGTGGTCTCCTGGAACACAACCGTGTGTCTAATTGGAACACAACCGTGTGTACACGTGAACACACATATGTGTACACGTGAACACACACATATTTATATATATATATGCGCACCCGGAACACACACACACACGTGCGTTCATCTGAAAACAAACATGTATTCACCTGAAACACAAACACGTGTCCAATTGGAACAAACATGTGTGGACACATGAACTCACAAATGTGTACATGTGGAACACACATATGTGTGCAAATGAACACACATACATGCGCACGCGGAGCAGACACACACACACACACACACGCGTTCATCTGATAACAAACATGTGTCCTCCTGGAACACAAACACGTGTCCAGTTGGAACGCACATGTGTGCACGCGCGAACACACAATGTGTGCCGTGAACACACATACAAAAAAGTGCACGCGGAGCAGACACACACACACGTGTTCATCTGATAACAAACATGTGTTCTCCTGGAACACAACCGTGTGTCTAATTGGAACACAGACGTGTGTACACGTGAACACACATATGTGTACACGTGAACACACACATATATACGCGCACCCGGAACACACACACACACGAGTGTTCATCTGAAAACAAACATGTGTTCACCTGGAACACAAACACGTGTCCATTGGAACACACATGTGTGTACACGTGAACACACATATGTGTACACGTGGGAGACGCAAATGCGCACACGTGAACACACACATGTGCACACGTGCAACACACACATGTGTACTGCACATGTGAACACACACATTTATGCGCGCGCGGAAAACACAGACACACACGAGTGTTCATCTGATAACAAACACGTGTTCTCCTGGAACACAACCGTGTGTCTAATTGGAACACAGACGTGTGTACACGTGAACACACATATGTGTACACGTGAACACAGCACACGTGGAACACACACATGTGTACTGCACATGTGAACACACACATTTATGCGCGCGCGGAAAACACAGACACACACGAGTGTTCATCTGATAACAAACACGTGTTCTCCTGGAACACAACCGTGTGTCTAATTGGAACACAGACGTGTGTACACGTGAACACACATATGTGTACACGTGAACACACACACATATATATGCGCACCCGGAACACACACACACACGTGCGTTCATCTGAAAACAAACATGTATTCACCTGAAACACAAACACGTGTCCAATTGGAACACACATGTGTGGACACGTGAACACACAAATGTGTGCACGTGGAACACACATATGTGTGCAAATGAACACACACACATGCGCATGCGGAGCAGACACACACACACACGTGTTCATCTGATAACAAACATGTGTCCTCCTGGAACACAAACACGTGTCCAGTTGGAACGCACATGTGCGCACGCGTGAACACACAATGTGTGCACGTGAACACACATACAAAAAAAGTGCACGCGGAGCAGACACACACGCACGTGTTCATCTGATAACAAACATGTGTTCTCCTGGAACACATACACGTGTCTGATAAGAACACACATGTGTGTACACGTGAACACACATATGTGTACACGTGCAACACGCATATGTGCGCACGTGAACGCACATATGTGTACATGTGGAACACACATATGTGCACACGCGAACACACACACACACACATATATATATATATATATATGCGCGCCCGGAACACGCACACACACACATGCGTACACCTGGAACACATATGTGTGTATGTCTGGAAAGCACATTTCTGTTCACCTGCAACACACATATGTGTTCACCTGGAACCCATATATGCGCTCACTTGGAACAGGCATTTGTGTTCACGTGCGACACTGGTGCAGACCTGGATCACACAAGCATGTTTAACCAGAACAAACTTCTGTGTTGACTTGTAACACACATATGTGTACACATGGAACACACGTGTGTGCACATGTGGAGAAACATGTGCAACACAAATGTGCAACACACATGCGTTCACCTGGACAACAAAAATGTGTTCACATGGAATTTACATTTCCTGCACGCCTGGGCGACACATAAATCAAGTTCCCGAAGCCGGCTGTGAGGCGCTATTCCATGGGGCTCTGCCTTGAACAACGCTTGTGTTTTATATGCGTGTTCCAAGTAGGAAAATAGTGTTCGTGTACGATCAATCTAGCTTTTTTGCAACACATTGCTAGCGCGCGAGCCTGCTGCTGCTGCTGCTGCTACTACTGCTAGTACTATCAGTATCGGATGCGTCTCCAGCAGTTACAGGCTTCAGCTTAGCAAAAGCTTTCCGGCGCATTGCGCTTCTTTCTCGCTTAGCTGCACAGTGTCTTTCGTATCGATTGCTAAAGTGCTTTGATCGTATTGTGGCAACTCTTCGTATCGATTCAGTAAAGCATTTGCTTTCGCAGGGAAATACGCAACCCAATTCTTCCGTATGCTCGGTACAAGGCATCCCTGCCGTCTTGCCTCAGCCGTTGTTTCTCCCCTTTGTCCAGCAAATCGCACTCCATGATAATTGCATGCGAGGAGAGCGGAAGCAAATTTGGATTGAAGCGTAACTGGGAACCGGTCACAGCTGACCACTGCGCTAGCGCCTTGCTAGCGCGCGGCTAGCGCGGGTTCGCCGTATTTTTTGGAGTCACGGCGACCATCTGTGTGGATTTGACAAATTAAGGCCACGTAAGATGAAGGTAAACGTGCGGGCTGGCTTCAAGTACTAAGTAAGAACTGCAACATTACACCCTTGAAAGCCACGCAAAGCCCATCGCGGCAACCCACGCGCCAACTCTTGGAAACCAAGATCACCGAAGACCCTAGCGCAAACCAAGCGCCATCCTAGCGCCTCCAGTGGGGAGCGGGCAATCCATTGGTATTTGCAGGACTCCGCTTTGTGTGAATGAAAAACTGCACAAAGTGACTGCGACGGTGGCCTCTGTAGACTAAACCCCCTTACTAGGAATTTTGACCGGATCGCATATGTGTTTTATCAGAACAATCGCATGCTTTCACCTGGAACACAAACATGTGCTGACGTGGAACACACTCATGTGGTCACATGCAAAAAGTGCGTGTTCACTTGGAACGCGCCGATGTGGTCAGCTGGAACACACCAAGAACACACAATCATTTACTTGAAGCACTCGTACGTGCATCCGCAGCATGCTGCCTGTGGCTTGATCAAGCGCACGCGCGCGCTCAAACACACGTTTCTGAGCCTCAAACACACATGCGTGCCCGCGGAATACACCGCGAATGCCAGGCATCCAGGCTGGGAAACAACAAGAAGGAGACAAAGGGAGACAAATACCCGTCCGCCCGGAGAGCCGTGCCAGACATCCAAGCTGGGAGACAAACGAATCCGTCCACCCAGAGAGCCGTGACAGGCATCCAGGCTGGGAGACAACCGGGGCCAAATAAAGGGAGACAAAGGGAGACAAATGAATCTGTCAGGCAAATGAAGGGAGAGGAACCCGTCCGCCGGGAGAGCCGGGACAACCCCAGGTGCCAAGAGCACCACTGGGTATCTCGGCGTAGGTTCGTTGAACATCATCAAAGAATCGATAGACGATTTAACTCCAGCGTGATTCACGTTTGTTTCACCGGGGGGTTAACAGAGCCTTCTCGTAGCTGAAGCCGTGCACCGCAGCGCACCGCTCTCGTCAGCTCGGGACTCCAAATGCGAGCAAGGACAGAGAGAGGCCGCAACTGATAACGAGGCACTGAACGAACAGACAGGGTGTAGCCAACGATAGACAAGGAAGACGACCCACCACGAGCCCAAGCAAAATCGAAGTCCAGATGAAGGGCAGACAGAGGACCCTGTCCCCAACATCCACAAGACAAGGAATGACCGAAGCCAGGGCCGAAGCCGAAGGCAAACCAGACCCCGCCAAAAGGACAGAACCGCGGGAAGTGAAGGAAACCGCGGAGCGTGAGTGCCACACATCCAGGCTGGGAGACAACGGGAGACAAATGAATCCGTCCACCCAGAGGGGCATCCAGGCTGGGAGACAACGGGAGACAAACAAAGGGAGACAAAGGGAGACAAATGAATCCGTCCACCCAGAGAGGCATCCAGGCTGGGAGACAACGGGAGACAAATAAAGGGAGAGAGAGCCGGGACAACCCCAGGTGCCAAGAGCACCACTGGGTATCTCAGCGTAAGGTTCGTTGAACATCCTCGAAGAATCGATAGAGGATTTAACTCCAGCGTGATTCACGTTTGTTTCACCGGGGGGTTAACAGAGCCTTCTCGTAGCTGAAGCCGCGCACCGCAGCGCACCGCTATCGTCAGCTCGGGACCGCAACTGATAACGAGGCACTGAACGAACAGACAGGGTGTAGCCAACGATAGACAAGGAAGACGACCCACCACGAGCCCAAGCGAAATCGAAGTCCAGATGAAGGGCAGACAGAGGAGGACCCTGTCCCCAACATCCACAAGACAAGGAATGACCGAAGCCAGGGCCAAAGCCGAAGGCAAACCAGACCCCGCCAAAAGGACAGAACCGCGGGAAGTGAAGGAAACCGCGGAGCGTGAGTGCCACACATCCAGGCTGGGAGACAACGGGAGACAAATGAATCCGTCCACCCAGAGAGCCGTGCCAGGCATCCAGGCTGGGAGACAACGGGAGACAAATAAAGGGAGACAAAGGGAAACAAATGAATCCGTCCACCCACAGAGATGGGAGACAAATGAAGGGGAACCAAGGGAGACAAGTGAATCCGTCCGCCTGGAGAGCCGTGACAGACATCCAGGCTGGGAGACAACAGGAGCCAAATGAAGGGAGACAAAGGGAGAAAAGTGAATCTGTCCACCAAAAAAACAGTGCCAGGCATCCAGGCTGGGAGACAACGGGAGACAAATGAAGGGAAACAAAGGGGTGCCAGACATCCTGGGAGACAAAGGTAGACAAATGAACCCGTCCACCCAGAGAGCCGCGCCAGGCATCCAGGCTGGGAGACAACGGGAGACAAATGAAGGGAGACAAAGGGAGACAAATGAACCCGTCCACCCAGAGAGCCGTGCCAGGCATCCAGGCTGGGAGACAACGGGAGAAATCAAGGGAGACAAAGGGAGACAAATGAACCCGTCCACCCAGAGAGCCGTGCCAGGCATCCAGGCTGGGAGAGAACGGGAGACGTCCACCCAGAGAGCCGTGCCAGATCCAGGCTGGGAGACAACGGGCGACAAATGAAGGGAGACAAGGGAGACAAGTGAATCTGTCCACCCAGGCATCCAGGCTGGGAGACAACGGGAGACAAATGAAGGGAGACAAAGGGAGACAAATGAACCCGAGCCGCGCCAGGCATCCAGGCTGGGAGACAAATGAAGGGAGACAAAGGGAGACAAATGAACCCGTCCACCCAGAGAGCCGTGCCAGGCATCCAGGCTGGGAGACAACGGGAGACAAATGACAAAGGGAGACAAATGAACCCGTCCACCCAGACTGGATCATCCAGGCTGGGAGACAACGGGAGACAAATGAAGGGAGACAAAGGGAGACAAGTGAACCCAGGGAGACAAACGAACGCGTCCACCCAGAGAGCCGTGCCAGGCATCCAGGCGGGGAGACAACGGGAGACAAATGAAGGGAGACACAGGGAGACAAATGAACCCGTCCACCCAGAGAGCTGTGCCAGGCATCCAGGCTAGGGCTTGGCAACAGGCGAGCCACCTTAAATGAATTTAGAACCCCTCACAGTAAACTGTTTGGGGAAAAATGTTTAAACAGCGGTTTCTTCATCCGGGGTCAACATGACCAGCCTGTTTTTGGGCCTCGAAAGGCCGACCAAATGGATCTGCTTCCACTTAGATGGTCTCGGACTTTGCGCGGCCATTGCCATGGTAAGTCCCCGTTACAATCAAGGTTGGGGAACCATGCACCCTAGGATGCAATCCACTATTAAAAAAAGAGGGGGGCGGCTCTGTTTGCCATTAAATCAATGGTTAAACTCCTACAGTTACATAACCACCGTAGTTTACCTCCAAATTGGGCCCTTCCCGTTCTTTGAATGGGGGTTGAACCCTAGGGATTTAGCCAGTCCTCTCAAATCTGAGTAGATGGTTCAGATGCCCCGGCGCGTTCCGCCCATTGCTCCCGGGAAGCTGGAGCCAAAGATCCAGGCCTTGTGTTTGGGGAGAGGGGGGGGGTCGGATTTCGTTCTTTTCCTGGGACGGTTTCGTTTCCCTTTTCGTCTAGCTGAGGTGGACACTGGCAATGACTGGAGGTTTTTTTTGTGGCTGCTGTATGAAGACAACTAAGTTGACAGATTTTAAGAAGGGCCTCTTGTTCCAGTTTGTCCCTTTTTCTTTTGAAGGGACATACGTTTAAATAGTGTTTGTTTTTTGGAGGGCACGCCTTGTTCCTTGTTTGGATAGAACGAAGGGGTGTGCCATGCTTTGCTCCTAGCTAGAGGTGTACTATTCCTTGTTTCAGCTTTAGTTTGGAGGATTTCCCTGAAATCAGGTGCCTTTTTGCATGGCCGCAGGAGGTCTGAGTTTTGTTGGGCTGGATGGGGGTGTTCCGGGTGTTCCTGCTTTCCTCCGGGCCAGAGGAGCCCTTTGATCATTTCAACACGTGGGGGGTGAGCTTGACGCTCTTTTTTGCGGGAGCTCCCTTCGCAACTCACTTTACGGTTGGGACTTGAATCTGTTTTGGGTGTGCTCTTTCCGCGCCCAACACCTCTTTTCTTCTTGGTTCTCCCAGGATGTTTTCATAAGCTTCACGGTAACCTGTGCCATAATCCGTGCTACCGCAGGCCCGTAAAGAGTGGCCCCAACCCATGTTCTTCCTTAGTGAGCCAGGGTCTCTCACGGCTTTTGGTAAGAGACATGCGATGGCCCCTTGGCCTAGCGGGTTACTCAGCCCAACCAACAGAACGACCAAAACACGCCGAACGGGGAGCAAGGGCTTTCGGTGCCTTCCGCAGGCTCTTGGCGACGTAATCCACGCAGACTGCTTGGAGTCTGGGGCAGCAATCCCCAAAATAGAGCTTCCCACTGGACTCCAGTTGGTCTTGGGTCCATTCAACATCCCGGGTTCCCCTCTAAAAATGCCTCCCAAAATGGAGCCCCTGTTTTTCGCAGGCTAGCCCTTTCCAAGTTGTGTATGGCCTGGAAACCGCAAATTTCCTCTACGTACGCAAACCGGCCCGGACCTGGTGTTTACATTTCCACCCACTGGTTGCAACTGTCTCTAGATGGCTTTGTCCAAAAGGGGACCCCAAAATGATAGGCGCCTTTTCCTTGTTGGTTCCCCGCCATCCCCCTAGCTGTTTAGCTTCTTATGGTTTGGGGGGGGTCCGTTTCACCCACTAAAAGCTAAACTTTTAGCAAGGGATCTGAGGACAGGCGAGTTTCGGTTTCCCTCAAAACCACCCGCGGTGGGTACCCCCAAAAAGACACCTCCACACGTCTCGAGGTGGTCCCTGGCAGCAGACATTGTGCCACTGGACCAGTGGCAGGTGCCTTGAACCGAAATTTCCCCGCGAGAGTGGTTTTTTTGGAGCATTTTATTTCTACGGTGGATGGACGAAGTCCATTTCCAACCACCTAAGGAACTGCGGAATGGTTCGATTTCCCTGTAAATTCCAAACAACATGGTTGCCCAAGGGTTTCCAAGTGATTTCGTCCATCCACAGTACGTAGCGCCTTTGGGTGAGAGAAGGTGATTGTCATTTTTGGGTGATGTTTTGGGAACCCCAACTTAGGTTTGGCTACAGAAAGGTCAACCTTCCCAAAGCAAGCCATTTTCCACCGCTTGAACCAACATGTACATGTACGACCTCCCAAACCATTCTTCTAGCTCACCCGAAGTCTGACTAGAAGCGGATCGATCCACTTAGAGGATCCCCTTGTAAAGCAGTGTTTGGATGTAAGGAACCCTGTTTCAGGTGCCACTGTGCTTTTTATTTTATTTTTTTCTGAGGCGCTCCTTTGATTGCACTCTGGGCTTCCGCTTTCTCTCAGTTCCCCTTGGGAGCCACCAACCAGCCAGCCAGCTAGCCAGGCACCTCGCTAGCCTGCTTGACTCCGGGCCTCAGGACCCTTAAACCTGAAACCCGAAGCCCCAAGCCCAACAAATCAGCCCACACCCCCCAACCCCAACCCCCCCCCAAAGAAACACGTACAAATAAAATATGAAATGAAATCAGCCCAACCCCTAACCACAAAACTCAGCTTTTCGAACACCGCCCAAACCCCCCCCTTCCCTCTGCCCCCTTTCCGCTCGCTCTCTCGCTCCGGCACTCCGCTCGCGGCGTGCCGGCCAGGTGACCATCACCTTTGACCAGGCGGCGCTGATGGCTCAGAACGTCTCGGACCTGCGAGGGCGCGGCGAGAGAGAGCTTTGCTGGGGGTGGGAGGGAGGGTGGGAGGGTTTTTTGGGCGGGCGGGTGGAGCTTGTTTCTTTCTTTTTTGGGGGAGGGAGGGATCAGGATAAGGGTGGGGGTACGGTTTGGGTTGATAGCAGTTTGGTTTTGTGTTGTGTTTCGAGGGTGGTGATAGCAAGTAGGGGTTTTAAGGTTTTAATGTATCCAACGCAGTCAAAGGCTTTTATCAGGAGGACCCCTGTCTCCCCCACAGTGCCGGAGACTGAACTCCCATAGTATGAGTGGTTGTTAGACCTTTGTGTAGGTCTAATTTTGAAAAGCCAACAGTTTGTTTCTAAAAAGGTCTAGGGGAAATCATTGGACTCGGCTTGGCATTGACATGACTGCATCCTCCAACTCCCTCTCGAACAAAACAGTGCTGTCTTCCACCTCAGGGTGCAATTGAACCAGTGACATGTTTTTACAAGCGTCGTGTCCCGTTCGCGTACGACAACTCCGCAGCCTTGCGTGGGTCCTTCCCAATCCCAAGCTCTCCCGAACTCCATTTGATGCCCCCCTGCTATACCCCTTGGTTCCGCCAGCCAGTTCCCATCCATTGCCACTACGGAAACCCAAGTCAAGTCCAGGTTCTCAGGAAGCGAGCTACAGCAATACGGTGGATGGGCAAAATCCACCAGTTGGTAGGGTTATCCCATTCTTCAATCAGGCTTCATGGTGCATCGCGGATTTGGTCCATCAACAAAAAGACCCCAACGCAAGGGAGCAGCCTAGCATTCTTTGTATCCCGTTTTTTTTTTGTTTCTTCTTCTTTCTTTTTTTTTTTTCCGGAGCATGCCATGAAACTTGAGCGTGTCGCGTGGAGATCAGCCGCGGGACAGTAGCCAATCGCCCTTGTGTTGAGTTTCTCTCCATTGATGTTATGCCAATAAATTCACCGTGAGTCGGGAGGGGCCACCCTTTCCATGCTCAACAGGGCAGCGTTTAAACTACCAATCCTCCAATTCGCGCATAGAGTAAGATGATTCCGAAGATGAACATGGGAGGGTTGGGGTGTGCTGAAAAGGGTATGTTGGAGGATTCTTGGAGTGATGGCCTGTGACACTTTTGTACATTCAGTTTGCACTAATTAGTTTGCGTCCTCACCAATTCGGCGAGAAAACCACCCATTTTGCGCCTAAAAACGAATGCCCATTTTTTTTTCAGGTTGTGGGGTTTCTGAAAAAAAACATCCCAAATTATTTTCAGGTTGTGGGGTTTCTGTTGTCAGCGACTCGACCTTTTGGATGTGAAGATCCGAGAGTCGGAGAGAGCCTTTCTCGGCGCATCGACTTGGCTGCTTGCAACTGGTCCTTTCGTGACCCAAGCGGCGCCTTTGTCTCATGACAAAGGCACCCGCGTTGGAAACCCTCCAGAAAGGCGCGGATTTTACTTGAGCAACGGAGAACATACGGTGGATGGACGAAATCCTGCACCACCCCAAAATTCCTGGAACCATGATTATGCTGAAAATACCACCAAACAATTAGTTCCCATGGTTTCTAGTGGGTGCAGGATTTCGTCCATCCACAGTACTACCAGGACATCGATTTCGTGTGGGGTTTTGCAGGTTTATCGGTTTCGGAGTTGTGTAGTTGCCCGTTTGTTTTCATAAGACTGCCGAGTACTCATAGTAGAAGCCCTTATAAGCCAGTCAAGCATCTTGGTGGACCCACAATGTAGGTAAGGGAGACAAGGCGTTGGCTGTGTTTCGGTACGCCAAGCGACAAGGATTCAGTCAGAGTGTTTACATGTTATGTGCCTTGGTGGGCGAAGCTGGTTTTGCAACTTTTCTCACTAACAAAGAAATGGTATGTGTCCGACATAGAAACACAAACCTCCATCATGTTTGGACATACGTCCCCGCGGCTCATCATTCCAATCAACCTTTTCCATCCTTGAAAGTTCAACTCTTTTAGTACTCTTTTAGGTGCTGTTTAAATATCCCAGAGGGGAGGTTCCGCAAAAAAGCGCCACATGCAAACCGTTTTCCACGGTGGCAACTTGCCTCACGCCTTATGCGCCGTAGGCCGCCAGCCTTTCGGG